CCCCCCTGCTCTACTTTTTTGAAGTAATGAAATGTGGGGGACTGTAAACAGTGAAAAGAGTCAAATATGGAAAAAAGAGATTGTGAAATAATAACTTGTTCAACTTCTATAATACAAAAAGAAGCAAGCTTCAGTTTGACATCATTTTTAGTTTTTTTTAAAACCCAGTTTCTGAAGTAATTTCACATAAATGAAGGGAAAAAATTACTTTGTGATGCAATCAATAGCATGCTGAGTGCCTTTAATGAATGCGCAAGTCAATGAAAATAGCATTCCACACAAACTATATAATTTTCACACGACCATCTGTTCTTTGGTTGAGTTGAGCACAGGGTTTCTGATGAATCAGCACATTTCAAACCTCAAAGTTTTTTTCAAAGTAAAGCAATTATTCTCAGTGTCACTTGAATAACATTCAATAACATTAATTGTAACACTAACACACCAAATCCCGGGAATTTCCCCCCAAAATGTACCCAAAAACCGGTCATTTTGGCACTTATGTAAGGGCTCACTAGTAACCATAAAAACTATCCAACTGATTGGAAATTTGGCACAAATAACAACCTAAGATGGAACTTTAGACATACCAAATTTGAAATATGTAGCTTGAGTAGTTTTGCTTTGGTGTGTAGTACAAATCTGGCATTTTTGGGAGCTTTTTTATGGCGGAATGAGCAAGAGCAAACCTACATTGATATTCAAATACGCTTGTGAGTGTCTATATATTGTATGTCATGTATAATGAAGACTGTTGAAATTACGAGACATGCGCAGTTGATTTGTGTGAACAAACGAGCTGTGCCTTTACAAAAAACGCGATTTCTCCATGTGCAATGAGAGTAGAAACAAAATTCCCTCACCCCTCTAAGCAAAATTAGCTGGGGAGATAATAAATTGACCTTATATAAAACCTGAGCCCGTTTTCCGAAACGAAATAACTAGTTTACGGAATAAAACTATAGAACCGAATTATCTCGGTCATGGGATTGAACGCAGCCCACGAGCTGACCGAGATATCTCGGTCACGGGATTGAACGAGATAATAATTCTATAAATTATGAACAGTACAACAAAGTGCACAAATAAACAGACCTTCTCCCTGCTCCGAAGCTCATCAAACATTTGTTCAATCTCCAGCCTCCAGTCTTCTTGCATAGTGTGGAAAGAATCATGGGGTGTGGTCACAAAAGGAGAGGTTGATATCTCCTCCAATCGCTTCAAAATCTCCAAGAAGGTGGGTCTTTCATGGGCCTCCTGATACCAACAATCTGCAAGGAATAAAAAAATAGTGACCCAATTCAAAAGAATGAAGGGGAAAAATCTGCAAGTGTACTTCAGACTTGAGACACGTAGTATTTACATAGGAGGTTTGCTACCACTATCTCTTGATATCTAAAAGAAAAGGAGGAAAAAAACCGCAAAAGAGATACAAAGAAAGTAAAGTAGGAGTAAAATGTCCAAGAACAAAGAGAATCTTGTGACTGCCATCATAACCAAACATTGAAAAACACTGAGGAACTTAAAAAAAAAATTATTATTTTCAAGTTCCCGTATTTTTCAACATTCATTTTTATAGGTGTCTGTGCTCGGCTAAACTCTGTCGAATCTAACAATAATAATGTAGTATATTCTTCTTATACAATATCTCTCTCTCAGTCTCTATCTTACTGTCTTCTTGTTTTTGTAAAGTGTTTTACGGCGCTCGCAACTGCATAAGGTCATATGAGCGCACGGGACACACCTAATACTTTCAGTTGGTAGGAAATTTTGAATTTTGCCCGGGTGGCGGCCGAAGCCTACTCTTATCGATTTTAGACCACCAAGGGATCTTTAACGTGCGCAACTTGCACACGGGCCCTCCGAGATTTTTTGCCCTTGTCCGAGAAGGCTAGGTGTAGATCTTTCCAACCAGAAGATCAGGGGTGTGGCAGAAAGACAGCAGTAAGAAGAAGCGAGTAGCAGTAGAAAGGCTGCAGAAAGAATCAGGAGCCCAGAGGAAGGGGCAAAGGAGGTGAACGGGAGGGGGCAGAAAGAGGAGACGAAAGCAGACACCAGAACATTGCTAGAGAGCAGGAAATGAGGTGAAAGGAGAAAAATTTAGAGAAGAAAATTTTTCGGTCGCTACCCGGATTCGAACCCAGGACCTTTGAATGAGAGGCCAACACCTTAACCTCTAGGCCACGAGAGCCCCCTGTGTGTCTTCATTGTTTAGAGAAACTTATACATAGAAAATGCACCTCAATAGAAAGAAACTGCACAGAACTGCACAGAAGGGGAAATAAAATAAGACAACTTTGCTAATCCACAAGGGGAAATTTTGAAATAAATAATCAACTGTTACGATAAAAAAAGGGACCCACTATATGTATAACAAAACACAGTGTTCTATCTAATGCCTTGGTTCAGGAAAGACTGAGTTCATCTGTAAATTATGTTCAGTTGTTTGAATTGTTTCACTGGCTTTTAATGGGTTGATGTGATGCTTTTGGTGGTACAACTTCTTGTTGGTTCTTGTGTTTCAGTTCCGGGAGTAATGTTGTCCCATGTATTTTGACTGTGAATAAAATATAAAGATAAGCTTTCTGACTCCCATCACTGGAGGATACAACAAAGGTACTTTGTAGGTGTAGCAAATGACAACTTTAGTCAAACTATCACAAAACTAGAATTAATAATCCGGAACAATCAATATGACCAGAATTCTCGACATTTCCAGATATGTAATAACAATAGTTCACTTGTCATTGTCAAATGATGACCAATGCATCGGCAGAGAACATTTCTGTAAGAAGCAATAAAGAAATAAGGACTAAGAACAGTTGTCAGTTGTGGCTTCTGCCATGGCCAATGCAGAGATGCCAACCACAGAAAACCGAAATGAGTATTGGGAAATATGAAAATGTGTATTTTCAGGGGAAAATGTGTATTCCCCATGACCGACCAACTAGTAATAGTAAAATTTACTAGCTCACCAGCTCGAAAAAGGGAGCACACACGCGTACAATATACATGTATGCAGTCAACAACATGTCAGTGTTCAATGTCGTACAGGGGTCTTGTATTTCAATCTATTATATATTTTCCTCTCATTATTATATAAAAAATAAATCCTGCTTTGAGAGTTCAACTCGGAAGGGCCTAGAACAAGATTTCGACTATCAAGAACCAGTCTGGGTGTCATGATTCATATTATGAACTGACAGACTCAAATTATTGCTCAAACTCAGAGAAGAGAAATAACTTGAAAGGCTCAAGTAGACCCATGCGCTGTGAGAGTTGTAACAACTGTGGGAAGGCAAGATGCAGTGACACTGAAAATCTGCCAGTCCTGAACAGAAAGCTACAACATACACCGTAGGTATAATTTACTATCACCCATCCAATGAAACGCCAACACTTTATTTCAATAACACAGACTTGCAAAGTATGAGGGGTCCCGATTCCGCACACAGCCTGCACCAACGTGCGCTTAGCAGAAAGCTCTAATCAAAATTCTGAAATGGTGCTTTCAAGTTTTTGTCCTTTGGTGTTGCCTTAAACCCCAAAAAATCAATAATCTCCTCCCCTATTCCGTAGTCATATACTTCGCAACGCCGTTACTCCCACCAAAGACAGTCTTTACTCACACGATGCCATATTTATTTATGACGCGAATGCGCGCAGGTTCAGTGACCGGTCAGGATGGCGAGCCAGACAATCTAAAAATCGGACGACGCTTGTATTTTCTTTTCTTTTTTTTTCCACAAGCGACAGCCAAAGCGACGAGTCCGAATGTTTATTACATTTTATTTGCACGGCGACATTGCGTTTATACTGCACAACCAGCATGCCACAAATGTTGCGTTATCAGACAACTGCTGGCAAACTTCTTGGTGGTAGCGAAAGCGAAAGTAAAGTCTAGATCTTGATTTTCCCGATCGAGCCTCGGTGTCACATACGCTTCCGCCAGCCGCCATAGCTGCCAAAACGCATGAAAGTGAAACGTACTCTCCGGACGGGAAAAAGCTGAACGAATATAATATCACGATCGCGACCGGCAAAAATGAACTTACTGACCTTATCGAACTTGGTTTTCATATACACAGTATTCCAGTTCTGCGATACTGATACTATTTTAAAAGATGGGACTTGAGATAATTAGGTTTACTCGCCCAAGCTGAATCTCGTATTTTTCGCATTCCAGGATGCGTATTTTTTCATGAAAAGTCGTATTCGCGTATTTTCGGAAAAAAATTGTACTAAAATACGTAAAATCGTACTGGTTGGCATCTCTGCCAATGTGACTAACTCTGGCAGAAAACAGTTTGCCACAAGCTGAGCATTTCAAAGCTTCGTTCTTTCTTTTACTCTCTTGGCTTCAGCATTTCCAATTCTCATATAAAGCCTCATAAATCATTATCAAGTGCCAGATCTGTGACAGACATTGGCAATCATGGTTCTGCATTCATTCTTTTGCTCGGATGCTCTTAAAAAAGCTATGTTACCCTGATCTTTCCCTGTTACCCATTTGTTTAGGTTTCTTAAGTAGGTTGCTCTGGGCCTAACCCCGCCTCGTTTGCCTTCAATTTTGCCAATGAGAGCTAGCTAGAAATCCATGTCTCTCACCTGTCATGAGTTGTGAAAACATTCCAGGACAGGTTGAGGGTATCGGAAGGGTCAGTTTGTTCACAGCCACACCGTATGCCACACCGAGGGCATCAATTCCCTTGTACGGCGTCTCTCCCGTGAGAAGCTCCCACAACACAACTCCGTAACTGAGGAGAAAAAAAGGAGAAAAATAAGACAATATGTCAATTGGTTATTGTATGGCCTCTTGGTGTAATGTCCATTACTATTAGGCAAACCACCTCTATTGCCTTAGTATAAATTTTAGAGAAGAGTGGTCACTACTGGTCAGTAATAAAAAAAAGCGTACGTCCACAGGTACAGCCGTGGCTGGCTCCTGTTGCTTTCAATGTCTGTCTAGATCTACATGTTGTGATTGTGATGTCCCGACAGTACACTTGAGTCTTGACAAACAATCTTGAAACAGTATGTACGATACAACTTTATCTGGGCAATAAACACTAGTCTAAGAGGAAGTTCATTGTTCATTGTTTCAGGAAGTAACATCCCTGCATTCCCGACATGTCCATTGATGCTCCGTTGCTCTCTCCAAAATGTCACTGAGGGTCTTTCCACTGATTGTGCCAGTGCATTTCTTGTTGAACGTTCTTCTGTCCCTAAGAGGAAGTAGATTGCCCAAGTTTGACTGAATTTCTTAAGAAGGATGAGACTAAACTGTATACAGTATAACACGAATTGATAGTTCGAACACAGAAGACTCGAAATCACGCATCTGAACTATGCCTGCAGTCCGGTTTTTTCTTCTTTTTTATCTTTGTAAGATATCCTTTGAACTACCGATCCCTCCAACTACTGAGGCCAGTCCCAACGAATTCGAGCAATCCGGGTTATATTACACTGTAGTTATAGGTCACAAGGAGTGCCAGAAAATCCCTCACTAGGACAAAGTAGTACGACTCACCTCCACACATCACTCTTCTTGGAAAACCGAGAGGACTTGATGACTTCCGGAGCCATCCAGGCGTACGTTCCTGCTGCACTCATGCGTGTCGTTTGTTCAACCTCTCTGGCCAGCCCAAAGTCAGTGATTTTGAGGGTTTTGTTGTCGAGATCTCCACTGTCCACAGACTCCTTCAACAAAACTGAAAAAAGGAAAATAAATAAATTTATGCAAGTGTTTTAGACGATCCCATTAACAAAATTTAGACCACTTTAGAGGCAAGCTTCGACCCTGCCTGTCAGAACAAACCCGGGCTGAGAGGGAGACTACAACATCCCAGCAGAAAGACCAAGATACAAGTAGATTTCCTACAATAAAAAAAAATATCTAAGGTCACTGCAGAAGGGAAGCAATTTTATGTAAAGGAAAACAAAACAAATACTTCCACAAAAAGAGGCAAACAAGGAACTTCATTTCTCAACCTAATCTAAACAAAAACATTAACTTCAAATAAGTGCAGAAAACCTTTCAGGTCCAGGCATTCTGTGAAGGTACCACCTTCTTCGGGGATGGCTAATTATAACAATCAGACAGTTCAGAAGCATTGTATCAGCTACTCTGAAGAGAAGCTACCTTTATAAAAATACAAGAACTATTTGAAGCACAACTACCAGATAACTGACCTGTGACCTGTCTCGCCAAGAACAAGTGATTTTCTTCACACTAAGAATACTACATTATAAGACTCAAACATCACTACTTGATATGTCCAGATAAACTTAAACAATCACCATAAATGTCACTAAACTGTGGAATACATTCTCCAGCAATGCAGGACAAACAGAGCCCTGAGAAATGAAACATGGCCACTGACAAGAAAGACAAACAGAAAAATTCTGCCCCGTGGCCAATACCAAGAACCGCTGATCAGACATCAACTTGATCAACCAACACACGAGAAAAAATTAGCTGGGCTTGATGCAGCAACACAATTAACAGACACTTGTGTTTTAAGGGAAGGAGGTGGCCAGCATTGATATGAAAGAAATCTGAAATAAAGGATGCATGCCAGCCATCATGGGGTGAAATACAAAGACGACCTCGGGAGACAGAATGATGAGGTCAGCAGTTTTTGGTGGATTTCCTCCGACGAGGAAAAAGCCACATTATATTTCAGATGCCTGAGAGAAGAAAGAAGATGGTTTGAGGGTTGGTTTTTTTTCAGCACATGAAAGGCAGAATCAGAATATCTGAAGCAAAAATGAAAAATGCATAGCGATTGACCCGCTTAGTGCGTACGTCCGTGTAAGTATGAAAGCAGAACATAGATTTTCCTGTCTCTGCTAAACTACGCCACCTCCTTCACTGAAATACACAACTTCTTCATTTCTCCTTCCACTAAATTCCATTGAGTGTAACAGTTACAACATTGTATCCCTTCTTCTGGCTATGAAAATAAAACAAAGAGCCACTTCAAAGAAGATAGCGCATCATGACATACAAGACAAAAAGTAGAGGTTGGGTATATAAAGAAAGTGTCTGCACTTTGCCCACTCCTACCCTCTTTTTAAAAAATGTAAGTGTTTTATATGCTTCATCGACACAATTTTGACAGAGATCATTTACAAGGCAGGTTTCCAACCCTGCTTGTCAGGGCCAACTCAGGCCGAGAAGGACACACAACATCCCAGCAGAAAGAACAAGAGATACTCAACAACAACAAATTTCTCCCCACTCGAGAATCGAACCCAAGGAAGTCTCCTGCAAGCAACAGCAAAAGCACCTTTACCTAACCGCCATACACCACAGCTGCCAGTACACACTCCTGCATGATGCATGACAACCACACTAACATCTTATATTATGAACGTTGCACTATAACCAAGTGAGTATTTCTAAGCCCTGAAGAGTGAAGTGTACCTTTTAGTTTTCGTAAGAGTTTTACGGCACTCGCAACACAATAAGGTCATGTAAGAGCCGAAGATTAGAGGTGTTACAAGAGAGTAACAAAGACAAAATAGAAGGAGGGGAGAAGGACGATAGACGTTTGATAGGGAAAAAGGAGAAAACCACACCAGAGCACCCGTCAACCACCCACTAAGTGTACCTTTGCAATCGCAATTATAATGGTATTTTACAGAAAGACACGCACGACGCAGAACTGAAAACTTGATTTCTCTCTACTCAAACAAGGCAATTTTAGTTGTCACGCTTTTTTTTAGAATCATGGGCTCTATTAGAGCACAGAAATCATATAAAAAGAGAATTATGTAGTTAGTTCTTATAATACACACAGTGACTTTAAAGGCCTACCTAAGGCAGACCAGGCATTTATGAAATTACGAAGCTACTGAACTGTATTGAAAGACAGAGGGAAAGAAGTGCACAGATAGTAGATAGATAGTTTGTAAGATAAAGAACAACACAACACAGAGATGTCCTGAACTCCTTTTACAAATAACTCAAAGAGAAAAACCGAGCTGATCAAGAGGACAGACAACACAACAGGAAGGAAATTGTGTGCCATGATCGTCAATGTCTGCTCCAGACCTGACACCTGATGAAGAAAAACCAGTTACTTTAAGTGTTGTTCTTAGAAAGTCCCTCAAAGTTGTACAAAAACACACACACACAAGCGCGCACATGATATACACACACCACACAGCCCAAGCAGTTGGAGATGAAACCTTATGACGTAGCCTATGGTGCGGGCCCGCCATAGTGAAATAGTCTTTTATACTAGTAGTAGCGAGGGAAGCCCTGGAAGATGACAAAAATAGAAGGTGGAAACATGTCATCTATATTTGGACCAATCACAGAGGTGCGCTAGGTGCTCGCTGTAGCTTAAAGGCCTAAAACCACTGATTCTCATCCAGTCATCTCTATAGATCCCTTCCCCTTCTCATCATCAACTGTCAACATGACTACCAATCAGTAACCCATTTTGGAAACCCATCAAAGTCAAAGGTTGATTATAATCTACACACACTATTTGATTGTTCCTCACTGCTCTGTTTTTCACGTTAAACTAGATGACCAACTACCAAGGGCAGCAAGGGTGCTGCCAACAGAAATTCTGTTCAAGACTAGGAAGATGAACAGTTTGCAAACTATTTTTAACAAAAAATACAGACTCTCTGATGTGTATCACAAAAGAGAATATGTTACCCCCAAACAAACAAAACATGAGAACAAAACAAAACAAAAATCACATGACATTATAAAAACAAAGTCATAATATAAAAAACTGGACTGAGCTAAAGTGACAAGAGAAACGGTGACAAGAGAAACTAACTGACACACAAAAGACTTACTGTTGCTGGACTTGAGATCCCGATGAACAAGTGTCAGGGGCGCCTGTTCGTGCAGGTAATGCATTCCTTGCGCAATCTGCAAAGCCCAGTTCACTAAAATTTGAGGTGGTATCCGTCGTCCGTTCAGAACTCTGTTGAGAGACCCGCCAGCAGCGTACTCCATAACCAAACATAAATTGGGCGGCTTCAGGCACACGCCCCTCAGGGCTGCAATGTTCACATGACTCAAGAGCCAAAACAGTTTTGCTTCTTTCCTTACATTTTCGATGGTCACACTGATCGGTTCGTCGGGATCTTGACGAGCTGCCTTGATCGCCACAGTTTCTAGACGCCATGTTCCCCTGTACACTTTGCCGAATCCCCCAACCCCGATCACATCTTCGAGATTCAGCTCTTCAAACTCGATCTCAAATGGACGGTCTTTGGACTTTATATCAGGCGGTAATTTGTCCACATTTAGCTGGGAATCTTTGGCTACAAAATTGCTGGGGAAAATGCCGACTTTCCCCTCAGCTCTGCCCATCCACCATCCATCGTCACCGGAGTCGACCGAGAGGACTTGCACCTGTGTGCCTCTGCGCAGCGTCAACTCATCTTCCCGGGCGGCTTCGTAGTCAAAGATGGCAGTCCATAGCGGACTCTGCTCATTCTCATCTCGACTCCGCCGTTCAGTAGACCGACGTAGTTCCATCGAAATGGTCGACACGATCTTGTGTCGCATTCGATGGCTTTAACTTGATATGACCACTAACAGAAATGTTTTTGTGTGTATACATTGTTGACCCACCCCACTGATAGGTGGAAATAAGGCATTTGCGGCGTTCGTTTCACGTTCGTCGCCTCAATACTGGCGCACTGAGCACATTTTTAACGAATTTAAGGCATTCCCGTGAATATTAGACCGTAAAAAGCTGCGGGGTAATCCTTCATGGTCCTCGAATGTACATGTGTTGGATGGAATCTTATTCCGAGACCTTTGTTGGGTTTCTGGTTTGCCAAGCCGCCATGTTGATGTACTTTGACCTTGAAATTTTCAATTCCTCATTATTTTTAATGTTCAGACACAGAAAAACATTTCTTCTGATTATAAATTAAGCTTGAATCTTCGTCAGTGAAAAAATAAACAATATTTTAGTTTCACCCCTCTTTACTTCCTCGGGTGTGAGAGCCTGGCGAGTCCCATATCGTAATATCCCGTTCCAGGCGAGATTATCTATAGTAATGGCTGTTTACATGGGATATAATGGTACACAGTAGAGTAGTCATGTAAGGTGACATCAGTGTGTGATTACATAGACCAATTTTTATATGTGGGACCGCTCGGAATACCTGGAGATGTGAAAATTATTTTCTGTGGATCAATGGGATCACACATTCTTGACATACTTCGTCAGGGGATATGGGCGTCTTTGACAGGAGGATGGTTTTACGACCCACAGCAGCAAGTGTTCTGCAACACTTTTCACATGTACTTGTGGGCTTTTCTGCTGGCCTTCCCTCTCGTCGTCCATTCCGTAAGTACTTTTGTCTTATCGAAATTTGCAATAGAGTAGTTTGAGATCTTTGCCAATGTAAATCTATGGCCTCATAAATAAAGTGTAAAATCAGTGCGAGAGCAAAAGAATGACGATCATGAAGAGCAGGAGATCCGGGCAGCTGAGTATTTTTAGTTCAATATCAAGCCTCACTGAACTAAAAAAAAACAAGCCACTTTGTCTTTCAAGTTTCACCCGCTAACGAACCTACTTTTATAAATCAACTTTAAAATTGTATTGATTTGGATGTTCATTAATGTTGTTAGTAGTTACATCAAACTCTAGTTCTATTCCAAGCAGGATGTATGGGGTCCGTTAGTTCTAAAACTAAAGAAGTGACTAATCTATATCTAGATCTAGAGTCAAGTGCAAGTTTCTAAATGCATGGGGACTGTTTACAAATTGAAACTGTAACAAAAATCAAAACAATTCTGACAGTGGTCAAAATTTATAGCGGTATAAAGTAATTTTTAGTCATGATTCCCCAGCTTCTTTTGGAAATGTGTAGGTGTAGGAATCAAATGAACTTTTAAATGGTCCTGACTGCATGTTAGGCTACCATTGGCATTGGCATCATATATCCAGTCAGTAATTTTTATACAAGCAAAAACCCCTTTACTTTTTGGCTGCTGCCTTTCTAAACTTTTTTCTGACAGGCAAGAACTAATGTCCCAGCAGACTCTATCCTCTAACTGTAATTTTGGGAGGATTACGTAACGAGCCACCACTTCATCACTTCATGAAACAGAGTAGAATAGAGGGGTACGGTTAGGGGTTGGGTCAGGGTTAGGATGGTCTCTTCTTTGTTGTGTTTGTTGGGGTGGTCACTTGTTACGGATGTCCTTCCATAATTTTTATAAGGATCTAGATCTAGAAACATTTAAAAGACAAGATCTAGATTAGCGAGGCCTAGACTACTCCCATTCCCATACACCCTCTACCTAACCCTAACTTGTGGTGTAGCTATATATATATAAGCTCAAACCTTAATTAATTTCATTGAATATTTATTGAGTAAAGATTTTTTAGGCCCCTGGAAAGACCAGAGTGAGACTGATTAATAGGCTAGAAGCTGCACAACATTGTAAAATGTTTTGTCCATGGGTGTGGGGCGCTGGGGTGCCCCCCCCCCCCCCCCAAACACACACACACACACACACACCCCCCCCCCCAAACACACAACTACTTCCCTCCTCCGACAAACTAGCCTCCAAAACATTTTTAATACACACGGCCAATGACAATCCCAACCGTGTGTATACAAACGATGCATGGAGACAAGAAATATAGCAGATCACCGACTAAACCAGTTCAGATCGGTCTGGCAATAGACCAGCAACTAAACCAGAAACATTGCGGTCGACCGACAAGGTAACTGAACCGGCTCCTGAAGGTTACTGGCCCACTCTTGATCCAAGACATTTTTAGCTTTTTTTTTTTTACCTGATGGAGACACAATGTTACTCCTATTTTAACTGTTATAAAATGTAAGCTCGATAAAATTCTGCCTCGGGACCCAACTAAACAAATCAAAATAGTGTTGTCCTTGGTTTTCAGTACTTGTTATAATAAATTTCAAATATATATGAAAAGCTTCGTATTTAGCTCATTTATTTATTCTTTGCACATTGCTGACTAATTCCTCGTGATAAAGATCATCTGTGTTTGTCATGGTGTTTATCTTGTGTTCAGTCTTTTTTTTTTCCCTCCCTTCCTCTTTTTTAAGGGGGGAAGAGGGGTTTGGTGGAAACAAATGGTAAATGATCACCACTTTGGTCACATGGAGAAAAAAAAACATACACTCTAAACAATTCTGTAAATGACATTAATGATGTTGATAAGGCATGATTTTGTTATGAGGATGGGTGGGGAGAGAAGACAAGTGGTTGAGCATTTGCAACCTTTATTTTTATTGATTTCACACAATTGTAAACAAGTGCTGACAGAGGGGCACACAAAGGCCCTTTGGAGACAATGCAGGCCAATGCAAACACGTTGTTTATAAATATGATGAGAGGAGGAGAGGTAGGCCTACACAATATTGATGGTGTTATGCTCATACATTTTAATTGGTTCTTGATAGTTTTTAAACACACAGAAACCATCTGATTTAAAGGATGAGAGAAGACAAAAAAGTTAACCCTTTGTTTTCAATAATTTATAGAGACTAGGATTCTAAATAAAAAATGACCCCAGCAATGGTTTGATTACCAAAACAGAGTTAACCATTTCCCGCACCCCCTCTTTCCCCTCTTATAATAGAGGAAAGGTAACAAGAAAAACAGGATTAAAATGACATGTTAACTCTTGGACGAAAGCGGACGATCTTTTACCAGGAATCGGACACCAACATCAATTTTAGTAAAGGTAAACTCTTGACCAGTTGTCAGTATAACACCATCGATGGGCAGGTAAAATATTTCACTAGGCATCCTTTTTTTTTAGTCTACATGATCTGTTCCTCATTCAAACTGATAAATGCTCTTGGTTTACTTCACATAATTTGTTAATTTACTTCCACCTTGATTGGAATTACTGCCCAGTCAAAGTGCTATAGTATAAAGTTATTGTTTTGTAGTAATGACTTTTGTAGTGTTGGTGGTTGGCGGGTGCTCTGGTGTGGTTTGCTCACTTTATTCCTATCAAACATCTATCCTCCTTGTCTCCCCTCTTTCTTTTTTTTGTGTATGTTACTCTCTTGTAGCACCTCTAATCTTTGGCCCTTATATGACCTTATTGTGTTGCAAGTGCCATAACACAACATAAAACTGAGAAGAAATGGCTGAACTTCACGCCTGTTCAAAGTTATAGTATCAAATATAGGTTGTAGAAATGTGTGTCTTGATCCTTCCGGTCCTTGATACCCCTACCTTCTCTCCTTTCTCCCTGAGGGGAAACTGCCCCCTCCCCTCCCGCTTCCTCTTAATGGTGGCCCAGGCTTTGATTAGTTTCTGAAATGAAATCACTCAGTGCTCCCTGAATGACTTTTATTATAAATATACGTGAATTATTGAGCAAGGATTGCTTCAACCTTTATCTGATGTTTTTATATTTTTTCAGTCAGTGTTCTTCAGTTCTTCTAGTTCTCAAATGACCTTATAAAATACAGTTGCGAGCGCTGTAAAACTCTACTCAAAAACATCAGTTCTTCTAAAACGAGTTCATTTTAAATTATCTACAAAAACTTTCTTCCATCAGTGTCAAATTTTCTTGAAAAAATTTTTTTTAACAGTGGCTGCTCAGGGACAATCCATTTGAATATCTCCTGACGTATATTAGAGGTTGTTTGTGTGGGTTTTTTTTAATGTTTTTATTTTTTATGAGAGGGAATGAAAGTTCCAAAATTCTAGTCCAGTTATATATTCCGTTCATTTGTTCCTTGTTGCAGATTGTGGAAGCCTCTGTCCTGGTGTGGGGAATATACTGTGGTGTGATCTGTCTGCTCTTCACCTGGATCAAAGTGGTCAACTTCAAACTTCACTACTTGTTTGATACCGGTGAAGCTGAAGAGGAAGTGCCAGAAAATGGAACAGAAGACCCGGAGGGTGGTGATAAAGATGAGGCTGAGAAAGGGTAAGTGTGCTCTCTGCTAATTTCTGATTAACTGACAATCAATTCCATAGCTAGATTCAAGACTCCCACAAGCGCCATTACAATAAATGCACATTGGCATTTGTTGGAGTCTTGCACCCAGCTATCCAATCGTTCTTGGCCAGTATGACAGGTGAATAAGAAGGTACATCACATAGACTCAATAACATTATCGTCAGACACAAGCTTTTGAATCTTGTTCATAGAAATGGATGTGGACATTTTCAGTTTAAAGACAGTATGCTGTGGTAAAAAACAGTTTTGAGTCCCTTTGTCTTTAATATTTCTATCTAAATGTGTAGCTTTGTGATAGAGCAACATCAGTTACATCGATCACGGCAGACTTTCTTACTTTCTATTATGGCTACGGCTACCTGTTAATACTCCTATGATTACAAATTGACATTGAATTGTAACTCCAGATTTATTCTTAATAATTATTTTCTCTATTTTTATCAACAGTGGCGGTGACTCGTCCAAGGACAACGAGTACATCGAAATGTCCAACCTGGCAACCTCACCAGCAGCGGGAGACCACCCACAGCCTTTGTCAACTGTGTCCTCGCAGCTTGAACTGGGGAAAGACTATTCCAACGAGGCCTTACCATCGCCAGTCACAGTTGTCAAGGCTAGCAAAGCAGGTAGGAACCCTCTATCAGGATCATCATCATCACCATCGTGGTTGGAGGGCACAGCTGGAAGGTTCTTCTTCTCTTCTTTCCCTCTCTTGTTTCTGTCAATCTATTTTACTTTTTCCCAACACGAATGATTATTATGTCGATGTGCTTCACAAACTCAAACCATCTTTCTTTTTTCTTCTGACCATTTGACGAAGTACCCTGCCTTTGAAATGACTTGTCTTTCAATATGTTTAGTTTTGGCCACACCAGACCAGTGTTATGATAAAGGGTCCATTCTGTTGCTGATTCTTTCAATTTCTGCCATTGCAGGAAAAGCTCCTCTGGCCCAAGTTGAAGGAGATGAATTCACCATGACAGAACGCGGGAAGCTTTCCTCCAAGCACGAACTGACCAGCAGTGGCAACGGTACGCTTTGTGGGATCATTTTCTGACAGTAACTGTTCTTGTGCTGTTTGGTTATTTCAAGTCTAATGTTTTGACAATTGTTATGAACTCTTACGCTGTTTTCCTTTCTCTGGCTCAACAGTCAAGGCCTCTGAATACCAACCTGACTTTGTTAAAAAATAAATTGAGCAAGATATGAATGTATACATACTGATATTTTTTTTTTTTTTTTTTTATGGAATTTTTTTTGCAGCTCATTTCCAAAAGTATAACTTAGGTTTGTGTCATTAAATAATCCTGAATGTGACAACCAGTAGATTAAAGATATAAAGAATTGAAGAGAATACAACACGTCTAAAGTAAATTCTGGAGGAAGTTGTTTTGATCCATCTTTTTTTTTAAAGACATTGTTTGAGAATGCTTTCAGTTTGGTGAGGGGCTGGGGGTTTTTTTTAAGGAAGTAGTGAGCCAATGCATCCTGTGAATAATAAATGGGTGCTTTTTTGTGATCTGCTCGTCTGACTTTTAATTAGTGCTACTCTGTCATCCTTGTCTGTTCCTGGTGAAGTGTAGCGGTAATTCTACTGACTTTCTCATACATGCAACGACACAAGGAAGAACTGGTTTAGTCTTGTCTTATCTCTTTTTGTTTTATGCCATTCTTATCTGCATCTTTGCGTTTTTGTGGACAAAAGGATAGGGGTCTTGGCAGGTGCTCTGGTGTGATATGCTCCTTCTTCCCTATCAAACATGTATTATCCGCATCTCTCCTCCTTTTCTCTCTGGGATCACCTCTAATTTTCAGCACTTATATATATAACCTATTTGTGATACAAATGCCGTAAAACTTTTACTAAAATTTAAAAAGTTAAAATTCACATAAATATCAATATAAATTATCTTTTTCAGAGGATGAAGATTCCCCGGACCAAGATGATGACATTCCGCACACAATCATAACGCAGGCCGACATAGAACACACCCCGAGGTCCAACACCGCAGCACAGGAAGAGGAGGATACTGCCGAGGCCGCGAAGGGAGCCGATCCTGATGGTTCGAATAATGAGGAGCTGGACGATACTCTTCATGCAGAGGAAGTTGTTATCACCATGGATGGAGAAAGACAACGGAGTGGTAGGAAAAATGCTGGGGAGGAGGAGGACGAAGGAGAAACCGGCTTGTCTGACGGGGAAGTGAAAGTAGAGCAAGACTGTGGAGAACACAAGAGTGGGTGTAAAGAAACGACCGCACGCGTTCGAAGACGCAAAGATAGAGATGGGAAGCGGGGTGACGATGGCGGTGGTCACTGCTCCGACAAGGAAACCGGCCACAAGCAAAAAGAAGCTGACGCAGAGGCCCCGGGCTCGAAAGTCCCCAGCACCAGCGACTCGGACCATTCCAAGCCAAAGCTGAGGATGCGCAAGGAGAGGAGAGCGGTGAGGCGCAGCAAGAGCACGGTGGAGTGGAGTCAGAGCCCGCCCCCGCCCGCCGCCAAAGCCAAGCTGTCCTCGCAGTCGCTGAACATGCCAGTGGCCCCAGCAAAAGTGGCGGTGCTCCATAACTCTACCTCCAGTAACAGCGATTGGTGAGTGAGTGCATGAGCAGCAGGAGAATAGAAGAATGCTATAATGTTACGATCATTTGATAAAGTTATAAGCTACGATGATGAGAGTAAAAACATTTATGTAGATTTATAGTTCGAACACAATATATTGTCTATGTGTTGCTACCAGCATTTGTAAAGCACTCGGAGCCTGTGTTCTTGGCGCTCATATAACCTTATGCAGTTGCGAGCGCTGTAAAAACCTCTACTATAACTAAACTAAGAGCCTGTGTTCTTTAATCTGGGTAGAGCGCTTTATAGATGTCATAATAACATATGCTATTATTATAAGAAATAGCATTCCTATACTGAAGTGATAGAGTGCTCTTGTTGCTTTGAGCTGTGCTTTTATATATTGTGTGTTTGCCCTTCGTAGTGTTTCATTTTCATGCCATGCCTTTTGCAGTTTTTTTAAATCAGTGTACGGTTACCTTTCTTTTATTTTGGAAATTAAGAATAAGTTTCTTTCTGTGTTTGCTATTACATGGAAAGTGGTGTAATTTTACATCATCTACTTTCTGTGAATGATGAATAATGCAGTCTATCTAGTTAAACATAGTTGTAGATTGCCAATAGTTTTTTTGTGATATTTCAGTTTTCCCCTTTGTGACTGACTTCTCTCGTCATGTCATGATTTTGTCCTCACCTCCAGTATGAGTAACACAATTTGTTCTTGCTCGTCGTCCAGGTCCGACGTTAGTTTCGGAGAAGTGGAAGTACCCGAGCTGAGCTCTATCCCGGACGGACAGGACGACTTGTTTGTGTCCTCCAGTTCTCAGCCGGTGCTGTCGTCGAGTGTCGGAGAGTCATCCGGCTCCACGATCGTGGCTGGCAACTCCCAGCTGCAGAGCACGCGGCCGGACAGCCCCCACCCCAAGCGGAACCAGAGGGTGTACATGTCCGGCAGTAGAACCTCATCCTCTCCCTCCCCGCAGCACCAGGATCAGGTGATGGCTGGCCCTCCGTACCTGCTGGACTTGTGGCCGCGGAGACTACATGACGGGGACTCGGACTCTCTCACCTCAGGCGGTATGTACCAAAATAGATATATTGTGTCACGACGTGGTGGAATCGGGGTGCTCGTCAATTTTGGGACATGTGATGGAGTTTTTGGTATCATCTTAAATGAAGCCTGTCCATTTACCTTGCTTTTGATTAAAAGAATACCCAATTATTTTTTGGATACAAGTCAAGATATTGGCGATTGAAGGAGATGAGGGTGGCCTAGTTTCAGAGGTAAAATTAGCGAGTAAATGGCCGCCAAAGTTGAGTTATTTACTTAGCTTTATAGTCCTTGGGAACTGAAAATTGACATATTTTCTGCTTTTAATCAACATTTTTCAGTAAAATACACACAAAAATGGGTTCTTTAATGGGCGTAAAAGGTGTTGAGCCAAAAAACAAAAATTCGATAAGAGAATCCCAAACCTGCGGTAAAATGCCAATTTCCTGACTTTCATTATTTCGACGAGCGCCTGATTTCACCACACTGCCTCACATATTCACCTTTGGCAAACCTGCTTCTTCTTTTTTCTGCCAAAAGTAGTGTTGAAATTGCACAAAACATTCTAGAAAAGGGGAATCAATAGATGTTATATACACACTCGCGCTGGTTGCTATCATAGATCAAATGGGTGGGTGGTTGGCGGGTGCTCTGGTGTGGCTTGCTCCTTCTTTCCTATCAAACATCTATCGTCCTCATCTCCCTTCCTTCTTTTTTGTGTTGTTACTCTCTTGCAACACCTTTAATCTGCGGCACTTATATGACCTTATTCTGTTGCAAATGCCGTAAAACTCCTTACTAAAACTAAGATCACATAGACGGTATTTAGTGACGAGTTTGTTTTGCTTCTCCCTGTAATCTCCGTTCATATGTGGTTTATGAGAATTATGCTGTTGTTACATATCAACGGAGTGTGTTCATATCTGGCATTGTGACAAGTGTCAAAATATGGACTGTTTGTTTATTGTGTTGAGATTCTGTGTGCATTCTTATGTGAAATGAAAATGAAAATAGGTGCATTAACTGAAAACTATTTTTTATGCATGGCTTGAAGGCTTTACAATTGGTTGTTTGTCAGTATAATATGAATAAGAGATATGATTGGGAAAGTCCATTAGAGTCGGACGTTTTTGAACAGTTCGGGAGAGAGGCCAAAGTTGAACCATTTACACTGGGGGGTGGGGTCGAAGTGCTAGACAGTTTTTTTTACACTTTTATTTTGGTGCAGATAGGTGTGTGCTTTTGATTTTTGTAGTTAGGTCTTTGAAAGATTGTAAGAAATAGCCACTGGTATGCCTCTCTTCTTTTCCTGTTTGTCTATTATTTCTATCGTTTTGATGTCACCCAGCACTTTTCGTTGTTATTTATTATTGTTATTGTATCCTTTTTAAAAACTGAGGCAAGCGGACTATCTGAAGTGTGTCTTTTTAAAGTTTTTAATCTGTCACAGAAAAATTAACAACTCGTTTCAAATAAATATAAACTTGTACTTCTATGATTTCGTGAATCATTCCGATGGTCAATGGACAAATGTGTTTCTGTCACTGTGGGCCAGGTGCAGACACGGCCTCGCACACGACAGACACGAGCAGTTCTGTCAACATGGAGCTCACCCTGGAGCAGAAAATTGCCAAGGACATTGACCTCACCACTCCCAGCAGTCCATCAGCAGAAGATCTGGCCTTGATGAGAAGTCAGGGAGCCATCCCGAAAAAGTTACGCTCCCGCTCCATGAGGCAGAACAACAGCTTAAAAGGTACGGCAATATTTTACTTGTGGACTATTCTGTGCCGTAGGTTACCATTTCATGCTTCAAAAGATGAAGAGAGACATTCATGTGTGAATATAAAGTACTACTGGAAAAAGATGAGTTCCATTTATTTTATGTTTGATGTATGACAGGTTACCATTTTATGGTTCAAAAGATGAAGAGAGTCATTCGTATGTACATATCAAATACTGACTGGGATTGAACTTAATCCTGAGACCAGTGGTAAAACACTACCAGATTTGTGCTTTTATTTTGAAATACACTGTCAGATTTACGAGGGTGGTGGGGAGGGGGGGGGTGTTAGACATGTGATAACCTTTCAGAGGGGCTGCCTTTGTATGCCCTCCTTTGTTATTTTGTTGAGTCCCCATCTGTTTAACACTGTTCTGTCACACAGCCAGCAGTACAAGGAACCTCATCTGGTCAAGCAGCCAGGGCAGTGGAAAAACTCTTCTCAGTCACTGCTTTTTGGCAGATCACACATCATCAGGTGCTCTGGTGCAGATCTGCACTGACTGAAGGGAAGGGGTCATTTTCATCGGTGCAGATATGCTCCACATGACTCTAAAGTGTAATTTTAAAAATGTGGAATTGTGTTGAAAGTCTATTGTGTTTCTCTTCAGCTATTATCTATTTAAATGTTGTTGATGGCCTATGCTCCACTGGGAGTTAAAAAGGGCAAGAGAGAGATTATCTATTTACTTTCTTTGACCAAGCATGGTGAATCCCTTGTTTATGTTGTATTTTTTTTTTCTCCCGACAGAATCCACTAGTCCTGGCTCGACCGACCTGTCCGATCCGGAGGAGATCCGGCGGAGATTGATTGAGATCCTCTCTGATCCCGACGAGCATTCGGAAGAGCTGAAACAACTACAGCAGTTTGTGAAAATGAAAAGTAAGTGCGGCCTGCAAAATAAAACGCTATGCTTTAGACTTTGGTTGGGTTTTTTTATTTGAACATTGGACTGGCTTGAGAGTGCAGAGTTTATTGACCTGCATGGTTTTTTAAATTATTTTTTGTAAATTACGAAAAGAATATTGTTGTTGTTATTAGTATTATTATTGTTATTAATATTATTATTATTTTTATTACTATTATTATTATTACTATGATTTGAACCGATTCAAGAATGAGTGCAGATGATGAAACATTGAGGTAATACATGGATTCTTATAGAAAAAGAAGGAACTGAAAATTTTCCTTAGCTGTTGCGAGCGCCGTAAAACCTTATACTATACTACTATACAACTTAGTTTTGTTGAATTAGGTTGCAGATGACTCATTTTGACAAGAGTATTCTGCTGTCCTTTCAGAAAACCAGGCTAATGCTCTTGATGCTTCCAAAGAGAAGTCGGGGGACTCTGGAGGTGAGGCGTTACGCTTTGTCTTTGGTGATTTTGTTTTGTTGGTCTTTTTTTAATTGTTTATTTTTGTTTGGGTTTTTTTGACTGACGAGTCTTACCCTTACTTTCGTTCCCACAAGATTGTTGTCTACAGGATGAAAATATCCACTCTAAGGCCTAGTTTTCTAGCTCAACTGGTACATATACATGTAGAATTTGAACTCGAATTTGGGTCTTGTAAAAGTTTTACTGCTTTTTTTCCCTTGTTTTTGAGGTTCATTGACAATAAACCTGAGTATTTATATATTCCTGTTTTCTACCACCCCTCTTGTGTCCACCAAAAACTTACAAGAAAAAAGTAAAAAAGCCAGTGGTGTTTGCAACTCAATATTATTGTCCGTACCAAGAGACTTACAATAAACAGAAAAGAACATAATGTACTTTGAAATTTAATTTAAAGTGTGTTCAGAAAGATAAAAAAATTACACATGCAGCCAACAATTTTGTAAAATAGTCGTGGTTATTGAACATTTTGTTTTGTTTCTCTCTGGTTATTTTCCTAAGAAATGTACAAGCTGCTTACAGTGTCCTTTACTTTTGAAGCTTTTATGAGTATCTGAGATCAATGAACTGTGGGGAAAGTTTTTATTTCAACTGTTGATCTTGTCGGTGGCCTAGTGGTTAGGCTCTCGGACTCGCAACCGTAAGGTCGTGGGTTCAAATGCCATCAAGGACCCGACGTTGTGTCCTTGGGAAAGGCACTTTACACGGATTTTCCTCACTTCACCCAGGTGGGAATGGGTACCCGGCTATAGACAGCGAAAGATCTTGTCAGTTTGTTACTGTTTGAGCGCTTAATCAGCTGCTTGCACTGTATGCTTCCCGGGAAGCTGAGAATGTTTCAGAGTGTTCTATGGTCTGCTGGGGTAATAATATAGTGTAAAGCGCATAGACCCTGCTGTTGAGTGGGGATATGCGCTATACAAATGCTATTTATTATTATTATTATTATTATTCTTGTAATCAGCCACCAAAGGAGATGGATCGAAACAGGACGAGTCTCAAAAACACCTACAGAAGCCTGGGTCTGGCAACACCGAGGAAGAACGGAAGACGTCGACCACACCCACAGAGTTCAGTGCTCTGTTGCCGGCCAACCCACAACTGAACAGGCCCACCAACAGGAGGGCGAGGTAATTATTCCTGCACGTCGTTCAAGTCCTGTGTTGTGTGATGGGGGGAGAGAAAACTGAGAGAGACTCGAGTTTAGAATAGGAAATACTCTGAGATATCAAATGGGGGGGGGGGGGGATTATGGGGAGTTTGACAAGTGGTCCAAAATTAATAAATGGGGGGGGGGCTGGCACATTCAACCTCGTACCCCTGTACTAGTAGGAACAAATCTGTTTTATTTCTCCTTTAATGAATAAAAGAACAAGAGATCGTGAAATTTTAGTGATTTTAGTAAGTTACTTTGACTACTTTTCCCATTTAGGAACAAAACTGTTTCATAAAAAAAAAAAAAATCAATGAAATATAAACCAATGTACAAAAGTTTTTTTTAATGCACAAAATTGAGAAAGCCAACCCGGTACCGGTACTAATACTGAGGGTAATTTACCGTATTTACAAAAAAATAATAGAGATTTCATTCAGATATCTAGATTCTAGATATGTTTCACTCACATGATCGTCGGTCGTGGCAAGCTGGAAAATAATAAACGGGGGGTAAGGTTTGGGTGTGCAAAATAACCTGAAAATTAATAAGCGGAGGGGGGGGGGGCTTGGGTTTCTTGGATACCTGAGAGTAGGCATGTGTACTAAATGAGGCTGAAGTTTAGAATAGGAAATGTGCCCATCACATAGAGACTATTTGTGGGTGCCTTGATAGTCGAAGCAAACTTTGTACTGTTGAAGCTAGAGAGGTGAGTAGAGTAAGCCTGATTCCCTATATGGACTTCTCTGTTGACATCCACCCCTTGGCGCTCATATGACCTTGTGCAGTTGTGAGCGCCATAAAAACTTTTCTAAAACTTTTTTTAAATTTTGTAAAATGTCATAATGATACTCGACCAATAAGTGTGCTTTGTCTCCTGTCTGCCAGACGTCGTAGGGGTCGGCGTCCTCTCCCCCAGAGGAAAGGGTCTCCGCCGATAGCTGCCCTGAGCATGATGGTTGGGGAGGAGGGCCACCTGGCCACCTCGCACGATGACACCACTGACGGGGCTGTGCACTGGTTCCAGGACGAACAGGGTGAGTAGACGGTCTGACAACACACACGCAGGCGCACGCGTGCTCACATACACACAAACACAGGCATACACTCACACACACACACACACACAGAGTCTCTCACCCACCTCGCACGATGACACCACAGACGGGGCTGTGCACTGGTTCCAGGATGAACAGGGTGAGTAGAGAGCAGGGAATCGACAAAATTTGAACATTAGGTTTTGTAGGAACTTTTTCTCTAGAGAAAGGGTAATTTGTCTAAATTTGTCGATATTTTTGTGAAAGATGAAATACTTGAAGTGGTTGCAGGTTACCGCTCTGTAATGGCTTTGACATGTTGTTGTTTTTAAGATGATAAATAGGATAGGAATAAGAATGAAATAATCATTTTGATTTTATTGTGGCTTACAGAAAATGCATAGTTATTTTGCGCACACCCCCCAAAAAACATTTTCCTTGCATTTTGAAATAATGGACGTGTGTTATTTGTGTGTAAAAATGACTGAATAGATTTATACATTGTTTCTTCTTATAAGCAGTTCATCATCCTCTTTGCCTTTCTCACCCTGCTCCAGGGTATACGCCACGGACAAACACTTTCTCACCCTGCTCCAGGGTATAGGCCACGGACAAACACCTTCCACCTTTCTCTGTCCTGGGCTAGCCTCTTGATGTTATTCCATGTCTTCCCACTTTTCTGTACGTCGATTTCTGTGATTCTTCTCCAGGTTCCACGCGGTCTTCCCCTTGATCTCTTACCCTGTGGGTTCCAATCCAAAACTTTCTTTGTTATGCAGCTGCCTGACTTCCTGAGGGCCCGTATGCAAGTTGCGCACGTTAAACATTCCTTGGTGGTCTAAATTCGATAAGAGTAGGCTTCGGCCGCCACCCGGGCAAAATTCAAAATTTCCTACCAACTGAAAATATTATGAGTGTTCTGCGCGCTCATATGACCTATGCAGTTGCAAGCGCCGTAAAACACTTTACAAAAACAAAACATGACTTCCTGAAGTTGGGTGTGTATATAATTGTGGAAGAACCTCTGTCTCACTTGTTGCATACCTTTACTTCAGGGAACTGGATGTCCTACACATTTGGGGAAAACAGCTCCGGAGTTGCACTGAACCTGACGGATTTGAACATGAATTCCAGTGGTGGAGGGGGCGAGCACAGAAGACATCACGAGCCTGACAAGTAAGTAGGGACAAGGTTACTTTCCTTCATCTGCATTTTAATAAAAGGTAAAAGAGGTGGGAGATTTATGTTGACAACTTTGGGGGTCTACTTTTTAATGTTACTTTTCTCACTGAAGTCAAAGTCACAAGGTTTTTCTGACCTATAATGCTGGAGAAATTAGCTCCAAAAACTATTGTTTGGATTCTCCTGTTGTTACTAAATGTTTACTTTTTTATACCCTTCTTTGTTTATTATTTTATATTTGAGTTTGGAAGGCATTACATTTAATTTTGAGAACAGATGTCTTTTGTTTTTTTGTTTTTTTAAATTGGGGTTTTTTTTTGTTGGGGTAGGGGTATGTGAAATGTGTAGAGATGATAATGTCATTTGTGCTGGGGTACATAACTTTCTGTTGTACTGTTTTTCCATTTGTGTTTGATGAATGAACAAAGAGGAGACAGTTATTACTTGCAAAGGTTTGCTCGGTTTGTTGTTTGTCTTTTGGTTTTTCCCATCCCTCTCTTCAGATGGTCTCTGTCGTCGATCGCCTCCAACTCGACGGTGATCGTGGAAGAGTCGCCGCCGTCGCAAGCTGACAGCCCGTCGGGCCGCGTCCTGCCCAACCTGGACGACATGAGTGCGGTGGTGGACAGCCTGCACCTGCCGTACGCCCACTCGTACGCCCAGTCGCTGCTGCGGAGAAACCACACGTCCAACTCGTCAATGGACAGCGACACCACCCACGCCAACGCCCGCTCGGACAGGGGCGCACCCAAGCCCAAGCATTTCTACAAGTTTTGGCTGTGGCCCCTGTCGCGGTTCATCAAGATACGATTTGATCGCCTAGCACTTTTAGCAGCATTAGATAGGTATGTTGTTATCGGAAAATACTGAGGGATGTATATTTATATATATATTCTGTTTTTAGTGTACATAGGGGAGGGACAAGTATACGCTGGTTGTGGCCTCTATTGCGGTTCATCAAGATACGATTTGATCGCCTAGCCTAGCACTTTTAGCAGCATTAGATAGGTATGGGGTCATGGGAAAATAATGAGGGATGTATGAATTCCAATTTTAAGTACACATGGGTTGGGGGGGGGGGGGAAAAGTATACGTTGGTTGTGGCCTCTATTGCGGTTCATCAAGATACGATTTGATCGCCTGGCTCTTTTAGCAGCATTAGATAGTTACGTTTTTATCAGACATTAATGAGGGATGTATATATATATATATCTATTCCGTTTTTAGTGTACACATGGGGGGAGTATACATGTTGGCAGTCACTTTGATTTTAAACAGAAAAAGGAGCCATTTCTTAAATGACAGAGGAGTACATTACCTGGAGCGTAATTTTTGTTCGCCCAATTATCTGAATTGGAATTTATGTGCTCTGGGTGTGTTTAGCCACTTTTAATATAATCTTATGTTTCAACTTGTTTGTAGTGGGTTTCTGGATTTCTTTTACATTTATTGTTGGTCTTATCTCATACTTTGTATGGGCACTAATTTCAGTGCTGAAAATGTTTTCTGTTCATATGGTCAGTATAAACCATGCCGTCATTTCAAGGGTCTTTTATCAGGTTTTAATTTATTTTCTTAGTGTAATTTGTAAAATTATCTGTTTAGGTACATCACATTGTGCATATGTTTCTCCCCAGGAACATATCTGTGATAGAAAATGTGATATCAGTGGTGATGGCCGTTGGTGTTGGTGCTCTGGGAGCTCTCATGATTTGCTCCAATTTCTACCACGACTTGTATCTACTTCTTTTCTGTTTCATCATGGCTGGGTGCCAGTACAGTCTGCTGAAGGTGAGTGCGTCAGTTTTCCCCTGCGGAGGTTATTCAACTCTTAAGAGAATGTCATGGATCATCATCATCATCCTCATCATCATCATCGTTGTCGTCATCATCATCATCATCATCATCATCGTCATCATCATCATCATCCTCATCATCATCATCATCATCATCATCATCCTAAACAATTCCCCCATTTCTTGTTTTGTTTTTCTTGACACATTACAATTTGAACAGTGTCAATACATTTTTACGTAACCTACAAATATTGGCACCAAAATCAGGACACGACCCCCCCCCCCCCCCCCCCCCCCCAAAAAAAAAGAGAGAGAATGTCGTGGAACTTTTCTTCCTGACTTGTTTTAGGGCCTCTTCATAGGATTTGTTGGTATTTTCTAGATTTGGTTGTCTTTAGAATGGAGCCGAGACTTGGATTTCTGAACAAACTTTTCTGTCAGTTTATGGTGGTAATTGCAATTGTTGTTGGAGTGGCAAAATGAGGATGTTTTACTTTTGGGTGCAGCAACAGCATTTGATATTTTAGAATTGACTACGAATTACAGTTTTTAGGGGGAAGGGGCATTTTCAAAACGGACAGTAATGCATGAGATTTAGAAAGGCAGAAGAGATTGAATGGGAAGGAAAAAGAAACATGGAAAGGTCTGTCAGTGCATCTGGATCTCAAGAATGACAAAACAGTATCTACTTGTACAGCAGCTGGGCATAGATTGGTATAACTGCTTTTTTAGACTTTCGTATTTGAGATGAGCATGAAGATTAACTTTAACATGATGTACATTTTCCTTATTTAAATATTTCAGAGTGTTCAGCCTGATGCTGCTTCACCAATGCATGTGAGTATTGTAAGACTTGATTTGTAGAAACTGGTTTATACATTTTAACTCCCTATGTGACAACGAATTCTGCAGGGGGGTTTTTTCTCCCTCATTTCATCCTCATATTACATTTTACAGAGATAACCAAAGGCAGAGTTGTAATGCTGTTGCTATCTGTTTGATAAAAACTGAATTTTCACCCTTGTCATAAAGATAGCAGTCTCGTTTTGTACTCATGACAAGTCAGTGTTTGTTGAAGTTAGAGGACACTTCTTTCACAACTTGTTATTTTTCAAATTGTCACTGTTCTTCATATATTGGTCCTTACGATGTGAAATTGATTATAATTAACATTGGATTTTTTTCTATGTCTTTGATTCAGTGTTGTCTAGGATATTTGATTATGTTTGTGTGTGGTTGGGGAAGTGGGGGGGGGGGGGGGGGGGTATTCTGCTTCAGTCTGGGTTTCGTGATAATCACAACTCTTGAAAAGGCTTTGTTGAATAGAATTTATTATTTTAATGTTCAAGAGCAATGATGAATTGAACTTTAGTTCCTGACTTTTTAATTTCATTTGATACTTTATTTGCATGCTTATTTCATAGAGAAAATTCTGTATCCAATCTTCAACGAAGCAGCTTGCTAACACTAACATTTCCAAGATGATATTATGACGGTGTTGAGATTTGTGTCGTCTCTCTTTCCCAGGGCTACAACCGTTTGATAGTGTTCAGCCGTCCCTTCTACTTTTGTCTGTGTTGCTCAATCGTTCTCCTCCTCCACTATGGCAGCAGTGCAGTGAACAACAAGCCCATTTACCTCTACGACATTCCCTTCACACTCTCATCCACTCTCACATTCCTCAGGCACTTCTTCAAAAGTAAGTGAAGCGCATAGAGCTCACTGTTGAGGTGATTTGTGCTATACAAATACTATCTACTATTATTATTATTATTACTCAAAGTTCCCATTTGTGTGTCAGTATGGTCTAAGAGTTTGCCAGGACAGTAATTTTAGTATATTGTCTTTTATTGACATAGAGTCTTCACTAACTTTGTGTTTAGAATTGTGAAGTAATATTTTAGAAAAGAAAACTATCGGGAGCGGAATTTACAAGTATGTAAAGAAATTGGGAAACAATGTCCTGAGTCTGAGATGGTTTTTGTTGTTAACCCATGTCACATGATTAAGTGCTGTCTTACTGATTAATGCCAGGCTTTCTCACAAGAGTATGTTCAAAGTATGTGTTGTAGTCAAGTGTGTGTAGAGACAGAGAGCTCTCTAGTCTGTACGAAAGTAAGAATCAGGAAGGGAATGGGGATAAAGTAGTAGAAACTCATCGGGAGAAAAACCAAGACTATTTTCTTTCATTGCTGTAGGGCTTATTAAGAACTCAAAAGAAAGACATATTTGGAACTGTATTCCAGTCAGAGAAGAAGGAACAACCACATAAGCTTGTATTTTAAAGGGGCAAAAAATGATACAACTTGGACAGTGGATAATTGGCGGGTGCTCTGGTGTTGTTTGCTCCTTCTTTCCTATCAAACATCTATCGTCCTTATCTCTCCTCCTTCATTTTTGTGTATGTTACTCTCTTGTAACACCTCTATTCTTCGGCACTCAATAGACCTTATTGTGCTGCAAGTGCCTTAAAACTCTTACTAAAACTAAACTAAAAATATTACAAACATTTTGAATGGTAATATGCTATTGATAGTAATGAATCAAACCAAATTTACATATTTTATGATTCTTAACCCATTTTGTTTACTTGAACATTGTCTCTTCCACAGCATTTATTTTATTTTTCCCTGTACTCTTTACTCTGGGCCTGCTGCCTCAAGTAAATACTTTCCTCATGTACACCCTGGAGCAAGTAGATATGCATGTATTTGGTGGGAATGGTGAGTACAGCCATACTACCATCTAAAGGCAGAGTGACGTAACTGTTTTTGTTTTAGTAGAGGTTTTTTCGGCGCTCGCAACTGCATAAGGTCATATGAGCGCCAAGGGGTGGACGTAACTGCATTTTATTTAAAATGAAGAAAGCTTTTGAGGCTTAGCATGACTTAAGTTATGAATGTTTCTAAACTTTATTGTACTTGGTGGAAGCTACGTCACTCTGCCTTCGACAATGGGGTTGAAATCAGACACTTACGTAACTTTACCACTTTGAAAATTTATATTTCGGATGTAGAAACGTCATCCTGCCTTTGACACATGAATGACATGGATAAAACTTGTGATCATTTTCCAGTAAGGCATTTTTGCTCCTAAAAGATTTCGCTTTTTTAATGATCTTCTGTACAAGTTGTTACCAGATTGAAGATCTACAAAATCTCTCTTTCTTTTGGCAGTATTTGTGTATTCTGTTTAGCGGCTTCATTTTCAACAGGAGCAGAGAATGTTTACCTTGGGGAAGGCCTGATTTTATTGTTACTTTGCGTGTTAGTGCAAGAAAAAGAGGATTTCTATTTCACAGTAATTAGGCATAGCTTATGAGTGTGGTTATTGAAGTCTCGGATGGAAAGGGTGCTCTTTTTGAGAATACATAAAATGCGTTATTGCATGTTTCTGATCTGATAGAACTATCTAAAAAGTCTCCTTGTTTTCTTGTTTTTTCCCCAGCAACTACCAGTCTCATGACAGCTTTCTATTGTGTGTGTCGCAGTATTCTTGCCGTGTTGGTCTTGTATGGATTTGCATATGCCTCTCTCAAGGTACGGTTCATTAAATAGTTCTGATTGTGCATGTGTTTGTCATAATTTGCAATAGTTATATTGTGGTATTTCTCTTTACAGTGGTGAGAATATTTTGTTGAAACGGTGTCAATATTTATCAAGTTTTAATATGTTACTCATCTCCCGAGACAGCTGTGTATGAATGTATGAGTTTTTGTTTTTGTCCTTTCTAAAAGTACCTGACGTCGGAGCTATTTTGAAGAATGCTTTTGGGCTTGTTATCATTGTCTTAGAAAATGAATGCGTTTTTTGTTTAGTCTTTTCCTGGAAATTAAGGTTGTATATACAAAGCGGAAAGCTGTATTGTTTTATAAATCTTTGATTGAGAAATATCAAAATTGGTTCCCACACTCAAAATATATTAATGTAGCTTCTGTCCTATTGTTTTCCATTTCTATAGCCGTATGCCGGTATTAAAACAGTCAACTTATGTGTGTTTCGGTTTGTATTTTTTACCCTTTTAGGAAATTGGTGGCCCTGAGTACAAATGTGGGGATGAGATCAGTGACGCGGCTCAGAATGTGCCTTTCTCAATTCTGTGTGGGTGTATCGTGTCCATGGCCTATCATCTCAGTCGCTCGTCCAGCGACCCGGGTGTGCTGTGGTGAGTACTGCGCAGGATTGAGTCGACCGGGGGGGGGGGGGGGTGTAGTAACTGAGACAGTACCAGACTTGCCAACTGTTTTCTGGGACCTTACTTGATTTGGCAATGAGGAATCTGAGAACCTTATCACATATACTGCACTTACTTTACTTTTGCGTTACTTTTCTTTTCCGATCCAGCGGCCATCTGGGTTCTAGCCCTTCGGCCTGTCCATATGGCAAAGAATTTACAGGTGTTTATCGGCTGTGTTTTGTCGCTGTATAAAGTATTTCCGATATCTGGGGAGGAAGGTAGGTAGGTGCTATCCAGGTCGCTAAGTGCACGGCAGGAAAAGAGGTGGTGTGATACTGTTTTATCCTGGCAGTGGGCAGTCAGGTGGGGTATCCTTGCGGATCCTATTTAGGTAGGAATTCAATGGGATGTGTTGTGTTCGCAGATAGTGACTTGTTCTCTTCTACTCAGGGAGTTAAGTGCATCTTTTGAGTTGGGAGCAGTCATGTATGCAAATACAGCTCTTCCAGTTTGCCCCAAAACCAGTCTCACTTAATGTAATTTTGTATTGTTGTTCCGTAATGTGATGTTATAACATTGGGTGTCCCTGACTGGGTTTGAAAAATGTTGGCAAGCCCGCATTACTGAAGTATAGAAATTTCTTTTCAGCTTTATAAGAGATTTTTTTTTTTGGTCTGAAGAGAACATGAATTTTTTGTTGGAAAATTTACCATCATTTCCCAAAATATTGAGGTAATCAGTTTGTTCTTCACATTATGTAATGCTTTATTTCAATTTTTAAAAATATTGGAAGGTGTCCTTCCTTATCTTGAGAGTATTTTTTAAAGGATTATTTTCATGTTACTTCTCTCTATTTCACCTGATTTCTGAGTTTCAAATTTATTTTTGATGGTGGGTTGACTGGTTCATGAAATTGTTCTCTGACCAGATTCTATGTTGGCTTTAAACAATTGTTGCCTGTAACTTTGATATGTGATTTATATTGTTGTAATATGCAACTCTTATAAATATTGTGCTTTACCAATATTTCAGGATGCTGTTGAAAGGTCTTGTGTTTGGGGAGACGCAAGACAAAGAGAAGGAGGGACAGAGCGGCAAGGAGACTCAGGAACTTGTGGATCCTCTGCCGGAAAAGCTGAAAACTTGCTTAGTAAGTTCATGCTCGACAAGTGGTTGCTTTTAAACACAAGGGGGCTATCCCGAAAAATGATGTTTTGAGAAAATCGAAGGTAAAGTTTTTGCCCCTTGTTCAGTTTCTTTAAAATACAAGGAGAGTTTCGTCTATAACCAAACGAATATACACACCAGTGAAACCAAACTTCTCCTATAGGTAGGGCAATGGCCACTTTTGGTGTAGGTCAAGATTTCTGGAAACCTGAAATCTAGGTTAGCCCACATGTCCTTTAAAACGACCAAATAAATTGTGTTCTCTTTTTGGGATTTCTTTACTTTCTCCGTCTTTCCCTCTCTGATCCCTTCTCCTTTCTCACTCTGTCTCTGATAAACACATCATGTAGAAAATAAATGTGCTTATGGGAAAGTGCTCTTTTACTTCCGTCTTGTTCAAATCTTCAGCCTATGGTGTGGTTTGCTTCTTTTTTCCTATCAAACATCTATCGTCCTGATCTCTCCTTCTTTTTTGTGTTTGTTACTCTCTTGTAACACCTCTAATCTCCGGCACTTATATGACCTTATTGTGTTGCGAGTGCTGTAAAACACTTATTAAAACTAAAACTAAAAGAATTAACAACAAAAAAAAAGGTTCTAAATATTGCTCTAAACTTCATGGCCTGAGATAGCTTCACAAGTTGAGTCTGTTGGAAAGAAAGCGTACCCATTCAAGTAATGTGAACATAACTTTCAGTTACTTTCTCATATACAAATAATAATAATAATATATTACATTTATACAGCGCATTTCCAAAAAAGTAGCTCAGTGCGCTTTACATTGGAATACAATTTTTCAAAACCTTTCTTACTAGATCTACTTCCTTTCTTCTCATGCAATATATATTTATGCACACACACACACACACACACACACACACACACACACACAGATTATTTTCATTCAGACATAGGCTCAGAACAACTATAATTTTTTAAAATTTTAAAATAACGTGAAAAGCTTATGAAGGATAGGCCTGTAGGAACAGATAATGCTTAAGATGTCTTTTGAAGCTCTCTCTTTCTCTCTCTTGAGATATATGTCTCTGCTGTTACTTGTTACTTGTTCTAACCTTTACATATTTTATGTATTGTGTTCCTACTTTTGTTTTCTAGTAACGCCTCTAATCGTGGGTGGTTGGCGGGTGCTCTGGTGTGGTTTGCTCCTTCTTTCCTACCGAACATCTATCGTCCTTATCTCTCCTCCTTTTTTGTGTATGTTACTCTCTTGTGACACATCTCTTCTTCAGCACTTATATGACCTTATTGTGTTGCAAGGGCCGTAAAACTCTTACTAAAACTAAACATGACCTATTTGTGTTTTAAGTGCAGTAAAACTCGTACTAAAGCTAAAACTATCCTCACCTGCTTGTGATTCCCCAGAAACAACGGCTTCAGTCGGACGCCATCGTGTGTGTGGCAGTGACGGTGCTGGTGTTTGCTGTGCACGTCAGCACAGCCTTCACAAGTCCTGCCCTGCAGGTGAGAAACGGGGGTGGTTGGTGGGTGCCGCTGGTAGGTCCTAGTTCTCTTCTCTCTTTTTGTATCTCTCTCTCCTTCTCTCTCTCTCTCTCTCTTTCTCTCTCTCTCTCTCTCTGTCTGTCCGTCTGTCTGTCTGTCTGTTTGTCTGTCTCTCTCTCTGTTGTTTAGTGAAATGAAGAAACAATGCTCTCTCTCTCTCTCTCTCTCTCTCTCTCTCTCTCTCTCTCCCTCCCTCCCTCTCTCTCTCCCTCCCTCTCTCCCTCCCAGCCGATGTTGACTGACATCCTTTACCTGCTGGGTTTCATCATCCACTACATCATCCCCCAGACCTCTATCTTTGTTTGTGTGTTAGTCTACTGAACCAATGAAATAATGTCTCTCTGTCTCCCTCCCAGCCGGTGTTGAGTGACATCCTGTACCTCCTGGCCGGCAGTGTGGGTTTCATCATCCACTACATCATCCCACAGACCAGGAAGGAGATGCCCTGGCTGTGCTGCTCCCACCCCATCATCCGCAGCAAGGAGTGGATGCTTTTCGAAGCTAAAGGTGAGATCATATTAGTGTTATTCCTGTCGGGGTTTAAGTTCTTCTTACTATCGTCATCTTTGCCTCTACTTCTATGGTATGTTTATCACTCTCTTGTGAATTTCTATTTTTGGAGTGCCTTGATAGTTGAAGCAGACTTTGTGCTGTTGAGGCAAGCTAGGTGGGCAGAGTAAGCCTGATTCCCCCGATCGGACTTCTCGGTTGACATCCACCCCTTGGCGCTCATATGACCTTATGTTGTTGCGAGCGCTGTAAAACCTTACTAAAACTAAACTAAAAGCAGGATCCTGGGAGAAATTTTACGAGATTATTGTCAGAAGTGTTCAGGAGAGCCATTTGTTAGATTTCTTTGAAATATTCCATTTCCTAAGGAGGAATTTTTCTCCAGTAGTTCCAAACTGGTATTGAATCCTTTGTTTTTTACATCTGTAAGTTTTGTCTCTTTTTTTACTTATTTTTTTCTTTATGGCTATCGATTGCTATAATAATAATAATAACGGAGATAATTTCTACAGCGACCGCTCTAGTGCAATACGGCTTACAATGCATTCATCTTTACACAAAGTACATATGCATGAACATTAACACGTAAGCTTGCGTTCATAATCATCTTCATCCGATGCCTTGCCGACTGGCGTAGGCGATCATGCACCTCCACTTCACTCTGTCTTGCGTTGCAGCGATGGTGTCTGTCGTTCTTGCTGTTCCCAGCCATGTGGTCAACTTGTCCAGTATCTTTTTCCCTCTGTCTGCCTCTGCCTCTCTTTCTATCAAACTTGCCTGTTGTTACAATATTCTCCAATGCTTCTTTCCTCATTGTGTGTCCAATGAACTTTGCTTGTCACTTTAGTATATTCGTCATAAGCTGTCGGTGTTCATAATAGTTGTGCTCAAAAAGATTTTATTTGCATGTGTGTGTTTCATAAAAATTGTGCACACAAAAAAAATTATTTACGTGTGTGTGTGTTTCATAAAAATTGTACACAAAAATATTTTATTTACGTGTGTGTGATTCATAAAAATTGTATACCAAAAGATTTTATTTGCGTGTGTGTGTTTCATAAAATTTGCGTGTGTTTGTGTGTTCTGCAGAGGCTCCGGTGGTGATGTGGATCGAGTACCTGTACGTGGGCCTGAGGTTTGTGGAGCGGAACATCATCTACCCCGTGCTGTGTCTGTGCGCCACCACCACCTCCACACCGGACATTATCTGTAAATTTGGCAACATGTGAGTTCCCGCAAAATTCTTTCGTGGTCCTTCCTCGTTTGTGATGTTTCGTATTGTTTTGAGGGATTTGTTTATCTTTCAGGTCCTTCCTTGTTTGTGATGTTTTGTATTTGTATTGTTTTGGGGGTTTTGTTTGTTAATCTTTAAGGTCTTTCCTCGTTTGTGATGTTTGTATTGTTTTTGGGGGTTTTGTTTGTTAATCTTTCAGGTCTTTCCTCATTTCTGATGTTTTGTATTGTTTTTGGGGTTTTGTTTGTTAATCTTTTAATGTCCCTCATTACAGAATATAGTCGAACCTGCTCTTACAACCACCTGCCCAAGATAGTCACCTAGACATATGACAACTGTTTTCTCCTCTCTCCCTCCACACACACACACATATACACACACATACTCAAACTTACATATACACATACACACACATACTTACACATACATACACCACACACACACACACACACCTCCCCCCCCCCCCCCCCCCCCCCCCCCCCCCCCCCCCCCCCCCCCCACACACACATACTGTATTTTTTCTATATTGTAATCACATTGTCCAGGACGTCCACCTGTCAAAGCTATTATCATCTTAAAAGAGCTCAGTACAATTAATTTTGTGAGAAATTCCATCCTGTTGTCTTATTTGTTCCATCTTGAGTATTTTTAGGAACACAGTTCGCTGTGGGTGGTTGGCAGGTGCTCTGGTGTGGTTTTCTTCTTCTTTCCTATCAAACATCTATCATCCTTATCTCCCCTTCTTCTTTTTTATGTTTGTTACTCTCTTGTAACTCCTCTAATCTCCTGGCGCTCATATGACCTTATGCAGTTGCGAGCGCCGTAAAACCTCTACTAGAACCACTAGAACACAGTTCACTAACACGTGCAACTCATTGTTTCAGCGGAGGCCCATTGATCATCCTTGTATGCAGCTTGAAGATGTTGAGGTTCGCTTTCTCCGACACGCCTCGCCAGTACCTCATCATCACCTTCACCTATTTTTTCTTCAAGTACGACTTCCGCTGGTCTTCGGAAAGCTTCCTCATTGATTACTTCTTTGCGTCCATCATGTTTTGCAAGGTGAGTATTATTTGTTGTGGAAGTACTGATTAGTGTGAAGTATTAGAGTCTCGGACAATCTAAACCCTCTTCTACAACTTTTAGAAGTATTGATTTAAAGCTGTTTATGACTTCGGAATTAATTCACTAATTTTCTTAAACATGTTAGAAACAAAGTGCAATGATGAAATTTCAAACTACTTTCAATTATTCCTCAATTTCAAGCCAATGAGTTTGCTCAGGCAAGTTAAGTAGCTAAACAACAAGAGACGTTGCTTTTGTTTCAGGAGCGTTTTTAATTTAGTTACATAGATGCGGGCGGTCGGCGGGTGCTCTGGTGTGGTTTGTTCCTTCTTTCCTATCAAACGTCTTTTGTCCTTATCTCTCCTTTTTTATGTTTGTTAATCTCTTGTAACACTTCTAATCTTTGTCACTTAAATTACCTTATTGTGTGGCGAGTGCTGTAAAACTCTTACTAAAACTAAAGTAAAGTATCATGGATGACACGATTTCCCTTCTTTCTTTTTTTTCCAGTTTTGTGACTTCATGTTGAAGCTCAAGTTCATCATCACGTACATCGCCCCGTGGCAGATCACATGGGGCTCTGCGTTCCACGCCTTCGCACAGCCATTCAGTGTTCCTCGTATCCTTCCACAAAATGTCCACTCTAAAGACTGCACTCTTTACTTTGTACTTTGTCGACTCTTCCTTTACCTCCATAGTGACAAAATGGGAGTCCCTTCTCTGTGGGTGGTTGGCAGGTGCTCTGGTGTAGTTTGCTCCTTCTTTCCTATCAAACAACTATCGTCTTTATCTCTCCTCCTTCTTTTTTGTGTTTGTTACTCTCTTGTAACACCTCTAATCTTCGGCACTTGTATGACCTTATTGTGTTGCAAGTGCCGTAAAACTCTAACTAAAACTAAAAGGAGTCCCTTCTCTTCATATAAAAGATGCTAACAGGAGAAGGGCTCAGTGTATTGCTGCGATGTAAAATGTAGTTTAACACGTGTCTGCAAACTTGTCAAAGCTCCCTTTGGTGGTACGTGTTGGTGGGTGGTTGGTGGGTCGTCTGAGTCTGATGTGATCTGCATCTTCTTTCCTATCAAACATCTATTGTCCTTGTCTCTTCTCCTTCTTTTCTTTGTATTTTACCCTCTAGTAACACCTCTAACCTTCAGCACTTATATGACCGTTTGATGTTTGCAAGTGCTGTAAAATTCTTACTTAAACTAAAACTTTGAAAAAATTGTTGAAAAATGATTTTGTAGATGATGATAAAAACACATATTTCATTGTAGTTGTGTGTTCATTGTAGCCGTGTGTTCATTGTAGTCATGTGTTCATTGTCGTCGTGTGTTCATTGTCGTCATGTGTTCATTGTAGTCGTGTGTTCATTGTCGTCGTGTGTTCATTGTCGTCGTGTGTTCATTGTAGTCGTGTGTTCATTGTCGTCGTGTGTTCATTGTCGTCATGTGTTGGGAACTGTGTTTCTTTAACCTGTACCAGATAGTGCCATGCTGTTTCTCCAAGCCAGTGTCTCCGCCATATTTTCCACTCCACTTAATCCTTTTTTGGGCAGTGCAATATTTTTCACATCCTATGTCAGACCGGTGAAGTTTTGGGAGCGTGATTACAAGTAAGTGCTGGTTCCAAAATACTTGACAATTTTTACTGTAAAATATCGAAAAAAAATTGGTAGGGATAAATTTGGTGGGAAAAAGTCATTTGTGGGGTTGTTACCGTAGATATTGAACATACCATTTTTGTTTTTGGAATACCTACATAACTCATTGTGTTGTAATGCTTTTTTTACCTTGTGCAAACTCACATATGTTATAACATTTCGTAGTAAATATCTAACAATAAATTAAAATAAGAATAATTTGTTTTGGGTTTTTAAAGATTCATTTGAGAGCATAAGATACTGATGATGGTTTTGTATTAATCTTGCATTGTCAACAGTCCAGTTGATCCTGATTTTACTTTTTTATTGGCATGTGATATAACCATCAAGTGGCCTTTCATGTGTTTCAAAGTCTAATTGAATGCAGGTTTCTAATTTAGCATTTTTCTTTTTCTTTTACTTTCCAGCACAAAGAGAGTTGATCACACAAACACCAGACTAGCCTCTCAGCTGGAGCGAAACCCAGGTCAGTGCTGTTATATGTGGCAAGGGGTTTGTGTGTTTGAGTGTGTGTGTGTGGTGGGGGTGGGGGGTTAAAAAGTATGTTTCATAAAGAAATCCCTTTGTCAAGTGCTTATGCACCTGATGTGACTATAATCATTCGTTTTTGTCCTATCAAATGAGGAATTTGGGGGGGGGGGGGGGGTCTGAAAGAGGGAGTATATGTGTGTGCCTGTGAAAGCAATCCAAATGTTGTTGATGACTGAGATCGCCGGGGTCCCTAGAAGAGCAAGCAGTTCTGAATATGCTTTTAAAAACAAACTTGTAAAAAATAATTTGAGTAGTTTTGGGAAAAAAAGATTTAAATATAAAGTTTAAGCTGAATATTTTCTTCAAATTTTTTTTTTCTAATCAGATCAGCAATGTTCTCATAAGAAAATGAATAATAAAAAATGATATTTGAAACTTTAACAAAACTGAAACTTGCCCCGCCCCCCTCAGGAGCTGACGACAACAACCTGAACTCTATCTTCTACGAGCACCTGACGCGCTCGCTGCAGCACAGCCTGTGTGGCGACCTGAGCCTTGGCCGCTGGGGCAACTTCACGCAGGGCGACTGCTTCATCATGGCCTCCGACTACCTCAACGCCCTGGTGCACATCATCGAGGTCGGCAACGGCCTGGTCACCTTCCAGCTCCGGGGGCTCGAGTTCAGGGGTACGTGGTGGTTTTGTTTGTTTTTGTAGAGTTTTTACGGCGCTCCCAACTGCATAAGGTCATTTAAGCGCCAACGTTTGATTTTACGGTGGAGGTTTGTTAGTTATTTCTTAACAAAATGGTGGCTCGAATGTTTGTTGTTTGGTGAAGGTTTGCAAGTTATTTCTTAATAAAACAGTGACTCTGATTGGATCTGACTCCTGAAATAGAGTCAAGATAACACTGAAAAATGAGAGAGAAAAAAAGATCCATAACAATAAAATGCAGTATAAGAGGTCTAGTCAGTAGTATATAAGTGCATTCTGATACTTTTTAACCCTATCCGTACGTCGTGTTTTACTATCGTATCCATTCAATGTGGGGAACTCGGTGCAACCACTTCCAAAGAGGAAATTTACTCGTTAATCCGATCCGTAGGCTTTGCATAGCAGTCTGTCAAAATGATTTTTTGAGAAATACTGAAAGTTTCAAAGAGATTTTCTTACTAGAAGTATTGTAAAATGGAAGAATACAACCTTGGAGGTACAAAATTACTCCAGGGCGTATGGATATGGTTAAAAAAGTGTTTTGGTCTTTTTGTACTATTGCTAATATGTAATTGGAATTTTTCTTTCTGCAATTTACCTCATAATTTTGGAGATCTTTATTAGAATTTCATGTCTATGTTGACAGAATTTTTTAAATATCGATTTCCCAGGAACTTACTGCCAGCAGCGAGAAGTTGAGGCCATCACCGAGGGTGTTGAGGAGAATGAGAGTGAGTTGTTTCCCCTTGGGAAAATTATTTGGTTTTGTTTTGGAGGTCATTTTGGCTGAATCTGTTTGTTGGGGGGGGGGGGGGGGGGGTTAAAGTTAACAACTTGTGCTGAAGACAAATATGAAATTCTACACCTCAAGTTTGACTTGTGATTGCCTCACAGGGTAAGACCTGGTCCATCCCTGCTCCACTGTGCTTTTAATTATAACAGTTCATTTCTTTTTAATGGTGCATTTTCACTCATTCAGCACTAATAAGATATGTAGGGTTTCTAGAGATTGCAGCTACAAAACAGAGAGAGATCCCGACAATATCTTTCTGGGTTTGTAAAAGATATTATTTTCAATCACACGGGGCAACGAGTCGTATGAGGCTTCACAAATAAAAAATGCTAGTGACAAGAGAGAAGCCTGCAAGCAGTGTACATTCACAAGTGGAAATGAAGCTTTTAAATAAATGCTCAAAATGTGGCAAACTTTCCTCTGCCAGAATTGGTCTTATCGACCACAGCAGAAAGCACAAGTCATCGATGCTAATCCTTATTTCTGCTTTTTCTCTTTAAGAAAATATTCCCCTTTACTGATTTACTGGTCATCGTCAGTCATTGAAAGACGCACTATTATTATTATTGGTGTAAACTGCCCAGAGCTGATACTAGTATGGGATAGAGCGCTATATAAATGCAATTTATTTATTTTTATTATTATTATTATGGTAGGCCCAGACCAACCTACTTAGGGAACCTAAACAAATGGGTAACAGGGAAAGATCAGGGAAACGTAGCTTTTTTAAGAGCATCTGAGCAAAGGAATGAATGGAGAATCATGATCGCCGATGTCTGTCGCAGACCTGGCTCTGGATGATGATGATTATTATTGTTTCCGTTGTTCTCCCAGGGTTCTGCTGCTTTGAGCCGGGCCACCTTCCCCACTTCCTGTCTCTGAATGCAGCGTTCAACCAGCGGTGGCTGGCGTGGGAGGTAGTGGTGTCCAAGTACATCCTGGAGGGCTACAGTATCTCCGACAACAGCGCAGCCACCATGTTACAGGTCTTCTCCCTGCGAAAAGTCCTCATCACTTACTACATCAAGGTGGGTCTCCCCATGAGATTTCTCTTCCCTTCTTCTTCTTTTCCTCCTCTTTCTTTTCCTTCTTCTTCTCCTCCTCTTTCTCTTCCTCCTCCTTCGCCTCCTCTTCCTCTGCAGCCACCATGTTGCAGGTCTTCTGCCTGCGCAAAGTCCTCATCACTTACTACATCAAGGTGGGTCTCTGACAAGATAAGATTTCTTTTCTCCTTCTTCTTCTCTACCTCTTTCTTTTCCTCTGCCTTTTCCTCCCCCGTTTTCCTCTCCTCCTTCCTTCTCTTCCCCCTCCACTGCTTCCTGCCCTCCTCCTCTTCTTCTCCTCCTTCCCCTCCTTCTCTAACGCCTTCTCCTTCTCCTCCTCTTCCTCCTCCCCTTCTCTTCCTCCTCTTTCTTCTTCATCCTGGAAGGCCACAGTATCTCTGACAACAGCGCAGCCACCATGTTACAGGTCTTCTCCCTGCGAAAAGTCCTCATCACCTACTACATCAAGGTGGGTCGCCAACGAGATGTCTCTTCCCTTCTTCTCCTCCCTCGTCTTTCTCTTCCCCCTCCTTCTCTTCCTCCTCCTTTTCTTCCTCCTCCTTCTCTTCCCCTTCCTCCGTAGCCACCATTTACAATTCTACTGTGCATAAGCACATTTCAATATCCACCCTTTAGCCTTAGAAAAATTGTTAGTAACAGTCGTTTAATTTGAGGGACGTAACATGTCGTTTTCTTGACGTGTTCCTGTGTGTGTCCATCCTGGCAGAGCATTATCTACTACACGGTGCGCTCCCCGCGTCTGGAGGACTGGCTGGAGGACGCCACGGTGCAGCAGGCCCTCGACTCCATGAAGGAGGACGGCCACGTTGACCTTGACCCCACCTTCAACGTCCACATCGATGAGGACTTTGACCTCCGCCTGCAGGGGATCTCCCGCAACAGCTTCTGTCAGGTGTACCTGGTGTGGATACAGCACTGTGCAAACCGCAGGGATAAGGTACGCTTAGAGTGTTCTATATAACGCCAAACCGCTGGGATAAGGTATGCTTAGAGTGTTCTATAGAACACCAAACCGCAGGGATAAGGTACACTTAGAATGTTCTATATAACGCCAAACCGCAGGGATAAGGTACACTTAGAGTGTTCTATAGAACACCAAACCGCAGGGATAAGGTACGCTTAGAGTGTTCTATAGAACACCAAACCGCAGGGATAAGGTACGCTTAGAGTGTTCTATAGAACACCAAACCGCAGGGATAAGGTACGCTT